ATGCCACTGCTACCAGGCGCCTTTCACATTGTCTTCCTGTGTTGTCCTACAGGTCCAGAGCCAGTGCTGCTCTTTGCCAATCGGATCGATATTCGACAGGTGCTGCCTCACCGCTCAGAGTATACATTACTTCTGAACAACCTGGAAAATGCCATTGCCCTGGACTTTCACCACAGCAAGGAGCTGGTGTTCTGGTCTGATGTTACACTAGACCGCATCATGAGGGCCAACCTCAATGGCAGCAATGTGGAAGAGGTGGTGTCTACAGGATTGGAGAGCCCAGGTGCATGGCAGCAATGAGGGCAAAGGCATGGGGAATGGGCCAACTATAGTGTGCTAGTGGGAAGCAAGACAGTTGGTGATAGCCCTGTTTTTCTGTAATGTCCGCCACCTCCCAGGTATGTCTCTGGTTGGATGGGGATGCTAGTGGATGCTCACTTCCTGCAGTTTATCTCCCCCTCAGTTGTGGTAGTAAGGCCAAGTAGACCCTGAGGGAGGAGGAAGAGGAATTGTTCTTAGCAGCGTAGTCTGCCATTCCTGGTTTCAGTCTGTAATTAACTCTCCACTGGGTTAGGTGGACTTGCTGTTGACTGGATCCATGACAAGCTATACTGGACGGACTCTGGGACATCTCGAATTGAAGTGGCAAATCTGGATGGCACCCACAGGAAAGTGCTTCTCTGGCAGAATCTGGAGAAGCCACGAGCAATTGCGCTGCACCCCATGGAGGGGTGAGTGGAGATCTGGGATTCCAATGAATACCTCTGCTGAACTGTCTGGAAAGAATCCTGAACACATTAGGCCCTTCATTATTCAGCTCATCCTGGGGCTAGGCTTCTCCTTGTTTCCATGCATGGAGCCTTATTTGTGGTCATAGGCACTGCATGTATGCATGGGTTTTGAGAGCCTTAGTAGGCAGGAAGCTTGAGGCCTAGGATTCCTGCTCCATGCTTTTAGATCATGGCAACCTTCAACCAGAATATGTTGTGTGGAAGGTGGGTGGGAGCTTACCTTCCTTGCCTCTCCTGTGCCTGTGACCAAGTCTTGTGGCTCAGGTCATAGGAATAGCTTGTTCTTTCCCTTGATATGAAATGATACTTGGTACTGTCTGTAGGGCCTCAACTTCCCAGACTTCAGGTTTTCCCCTCCTTCCTATAGCACCATCTACTGGACAGATTGGGGCAACACTCCTCGCATTGAGTACTCCAACATGGATGGTTCGAATCGGCGCATCATTGCTGATACACACCTCTTCTGGCCCAATGGACTGACCATCGACTATGCTGGGCACCGGATGTACTGGGTGGATGCCAAGCATCATGTCATTGAGAGGGCTGACTTGGATGGGAGGAACAGGAAGGCTGTTATCAGTCAGGGTGAGAACTGGGGTACCTGGGAGGACCAGCAGTACCTGTTTTTGAGCTGCTGCTATATTAATTGTACTTACCTCAACTGGCTGGACATTGTGGGGTGAGCTATGCCATCCCTTTACACCCCTCAGGGATGGGTGCTTCCACTCTTTCTTCCCAATCCTTCTGTTACTGAGAGTTGGATTTGGCTAGTTGAGCCTGTTAAAGGCAGCACTGAGTAAGAGAGTAAGGAACTTTCCCTTGTCTCTCTCCCAGTCTGGCTTTCCTGGGATATGGGTTAATATCTGTCTGTACTGTACTTTTTGCTGCAGGCCTCCCACATCCCTTTGCTATCACGGTGTTTGAGGACAGCCTCTACTGGACAGACTGGCACACAAAGAGCATAAACAGCGCCAACAAGTTCACTGGCAAAAACCAGGAGATTATCCGTAACAAGCTCCACTTTCCTATGGATATTCACACGCTGCATCCTCAGCGCCAGCCGGCAGGTACCTGCAGAGGGGGCAAGGGCAGCATACCAGCTTGGGGACCAGTTACTGTTCTGAGGCAGGGAAGCCCTAGATCTGGACCCTTGGCATAATGACCCGTGTGCCACTCAGCTTCTCTTCTACCCAGATCCATGCTTCTCCTAATCTTTCCTTTGCTGCTGGAGTCAACCCTAACATTCTCCCTTCACCAGCTTGTGATACATTTGGTATGAGGGCCCTCCATTTCATTAGTGGACGGATATTACAAGAGCTCCCTCTGCTGACACTGGGAGATAATAGCTTTTTGTTAGCAAATATTAAAGCCTTGTTTTTAACAAGTTGCTCCTGGATAATTCTATGTATAGATGCTCTTATTCTTCAGTAAAAGAAGTGGAAGTGGATTAGGCTAAAGAGGAATAAAAGTGAGAATAAGATCAAAAGTGTCCATATGTGGATTTATTCTAAAAGAGCTATTTTGCTTTAAATAGACATTCTGCCATTCTATTAATCAGTGGTGCTCAACCTTTTGGCCCTGATGGCTGGATGAGTGGCAGAGAGCTGGTTCATGGACTGGATCCCTCAGGAGTCACTATGTGGGGTTGGGCCCTGTGCACCTGGGTCAGGCCCCACGCTGCCTCAGCCTAGCCTCACACACCCAAATTGGGCCCTGCACTACCTCGGCTCAGACCCATGCTCTTGGATCCTTCCCCGTGCCACCCCAGCCCCTTGCATCTGATCTAGTGTGCCAGACCGTGCTATCCAGCCTGCTGAGCTCCCTGCAGATGCAGCAATTAATACTGCTGCCATCCTCCCACCATCAAATTTTTAGACTTGTGAAGAGTCCAGTGGGCCTGATGACCCAGTTCCACTGGCTAGATGTGGCCCATGGGTTGGGGGATAACCACCCATGGCCTAGTCTGCCTGATGGGCAGGACAGGAGGTCATAGCAGGCTGTCCCAGAGTGAGACTCCTTTCAGCTTCCCTCCTGCTTCTGGCTAATGTCTCTCTTACTCTTTACTAGTTGCCTTATGTGTGGTTGTGTTTGTTTTTGGCTATTTGAGCAGGGAGAAACCGCTGTGGGGCCAACAATGGTGGCTGCACTCACCTTTGCCTGCCGAGCAACAAGGATTACACCTGTGCCTGCCCCACTGGTTTCCGCAAGACCAGCAGCTATGCCTGTGCACAGAGTAAGTGGGATGGGGATCAGAGCTCGAACACACCAGCCAAACACTCCCAGCCCCAGAGGTACTCCCTGAGAACCACGAATGGAAGTGATCAGAAATGGGATTAAGCAGCATCTGTGTCTCTGCAAAGCTCAGGGTGGATGGGGTGCAGCAGGAAAAGCCTTTAGAGGAAAGAGGGGGGAAGCTTTAGAGGATAGAGTGGGGTAGGGTAGAGGCTTGCTGTGGCTTACATTCATTGGTTGGTGGTTCCTCCAGTTTTATATCCTCCTTGACAGGGAGTGATGTTGCTTTTGCACTTTTTGTTGAACACCAGCTTGGCACAGGTTACCTGTATATTGTACATGCCCATTCCTACCCATTTAAACAGAGGTGGTGATAATGTTACCTTGTGCATTACACCTGATTTTGGCTCAGAGACACCCCCACAAGCTAGAGCTGGACCTATTTGGCTCTTATGAAAGATGACCCATTTAAGTCTCACTGCCAGGTCGATGACAGGAAAACTAGGCCATTTTTGCTTGTTTTGCAGAAAATGGTGAAGAAGAGGCTTGTGATGGATCTATGCCATCTTTGGGGGCACATCTCATGTGTTCCCTGCAAAATGATATCCCCTAAGAAACTGCTTATCAGCACCACGTTGTCTCTCCTCCCCTCCCTCCCCACAACCCCTCCATGGTGTCACCCTTTTTCAAACTGTGTTGTCTTAGCTTATGAATCAGCATTGAGAGGTGTGTATGCAGTGGAGCTTGAATGTAACAGGAGAATTGTCTGTGTCTGTCACTATGTTGTTGAACTTAGAGAAATTAAAAGAAGACCTTTCGACCTTTGATCAGGTCTTGACAAGTTCCTGCTTTTTGCTCGAAGGATGGACATCCGTCGGATCAGCTTTGACACAGATGACCTGTCAGATGATGTCATCCCTCTTGCTGATGTGCGCAGTGCTGTGGCTCTGGATTGGGATTCAAAGGATGACTATGTCTACTGGACAGATGTTAGCACTGACTCCATTAGTCGGGCAAAATGGGATGGATCAGGGCAGGAGGTAAAGTCTTTGTCCTGAATTGGGATGTTAGGCCAGCCAGAGTTTGGAAGACTGAGGTTTCTTTGGACGCTGGGCATAAGATGACTATAAGCCATTAGGGCTTTGTTTTAGTTCAGCTGAATTACTGCTTATGGTTCTGTTTATGGCCACATTTATTTTGTTCCGTGTTAACCATTGGTGATCCCAGAAGTTCTTTGCCCACGTGGTGTGTGCAACTGTACATGCCTGCCAGTCTCAGAATCTCTGCTTGATCAAACTGATTTGCTTGGATGTTTCACTAAAACACAAATTGCCTCACATGCAGCAGACACAGCCCTCTCCCTTGGCTTCCTCTCTGGACATTCCCTTTGTCTCTTGTTCAGGCATCTGTTGACTGAACCAGGGAATAGTTGTCAGAGCTCAAGAGTTTGGAGGCTGGAGAGTGAAGCAGAGATTCTCTGTATGTGGACAGGTGTTCCCAATACTTCTCATATGGACTTCTCCTGCTGGGGTTTGCCAGTGGGAGTTCTTTGTGTTGCTATTGACGAAGCTGGTGAACTGGTCTCAAGGGCTTTTTTTTGCTGATTTCTTGTTTTATGACATTTGCTTTTGGTTTTTGCTCAGGTTATGGTGGACACCAGCTTGGAAAGCCCAGCCGGATTGGCTATTGATTGGGTCACCAACAAGCTGTATTGGACTGATGCAGGTACTGGGGTTCTCTGCTGGGTTTAGGTTTAGTCTTCACCCTTCATGAAGATGCAATAGCAGCAGGGCAGTCCCATCTGTGTCCCTCCCAAACTTGTCTCTGTCAGACAAACATGGTCTCTCCTCCATGTTTCTAACACTGGAGGAACCAACTTGGATTTTTTTGTTTGCTTCTGTCTGGATCCTATCCTGATGCATACAGGAATATGGTGTGAGAGGAAAACGCCTGTTAGCTTCTCACTGCACAGCCTGTGGTGGGCACCCACTTATGTTTCCAAGCCAGTGGCAGTATAATGGCTAGGATCTTGAGGATGGTCCTGCCAGAAGATAACAGTACTGAGGCCAGTCAGGAAGATGATTCTTCCCTAGCCATCCTCTGATGCCAGTTACTGGTACTTTCAATGACCTGACTTAGTGGTTCCTCCCATATATATAGGACTAGCAGCAGTGGGCTAGAGAGGTGAATGTGAGAATATCTTGTCTGATCAGCAAGTCAACTTGTTCCACACTCACTACCAGCTTTCTAGTCAGGGTGAAGGATGAAGGGAGGGAAAACTAGATCACTGTGCAGATGTGGTTTTCTTTGTGATCTGTTCTATGATTCCAGAGGGCTGTAATCTATCACTTTCTCTTGCTCTCTCTCTCTTGCTTTCTCTCTTGCTCTCTCCCTCTCTCGGTCCCTGTTTCCCAATCTCTATAGGAACAGACCGGATAGAGGTCTCCAACACAGATGGGACCATGAGGACTGTTTTGATCTGGGAAAACCTAGACAGACCCAGAGATATTGTGGTGGACCCTGTTGGAGGGTAAGAGCCTTTTTCATATGGGATTGATTTGTCAATCTTTCTGTAAAACCCAGGTTATTTGAGTACGATTCTTGTACCCTTACACCTCCATGTGATGTCTGGGGGCTCTGGTATCAGAGAGGTCTCCATAGCAATTCCTTTCAAGGTCTGAGAGGAGGGGCCTGGCTTTAAAAGTGAATGCCACCAGAGTAAGCATCACATGCTTCTTAACAGATAAGTCAAAGCTCTATGTTGCTTTGAGCCACCTCCTGCTGTTTTGCACAGCAAAAATTGGGAGCAATACCACTGAAGTCCATGAAATTACATTAATGAGAGAAGAAAATGCCCTTTGTTCCATGTTGAGGTCTTGGTAGGCCCCTGCTATCTGCATAACCATTTAGATTGATCTAAAAACAAATCTGAATTGCAGTGAAATTTGACCATTAGTTCAACTTTTGGTTCCCAGTAAGCTCAGAATCACTTAGTCCTAGGCTCAGGAGTATCCTATCAGTGACTGTCCTTTGTGCCAAAAAAAGCAAATTTCCACAGCAGGTTTGCAGAAAGAGTGAATTTTTCCAATTAAAGCTTCTGTTCTGAGCCATGGGACCTTGCAGAACTGGGAACCAAGGTCAATTGAGATACCTGAGCACAAGACTACTAGCTCTTCCTTCCCAAGTGTTGAAGGGTTGAAACAGAACTTCACTGTTCTCTTTCATCTTCCAGGCAGTTGGTAGTTTGCAGTGAAAGGGACACTGAACTAGAGTGGTATATAGAAAGATGGTGGAGCTCTGCAGATAGAATGGTAGTTTGACAGTCTTCTGCTGGCTGTGGAAGGCACAAAGCCACATTGCTCCTCTGGTGTCAATGATAGGCAGCTGTAGAGGTGTAAGAGTGCAGGCACTCATTCTTTCTTGGCTTGTGTTCAGGTTCATGTACTGGACTGACTGGGGGGCCAGCCCAAAGATTGAACGTGCTGGTATGGATGCCTCCAACCGCATGGTGATCATCTCCTCCAATCTGACTTGGCCCAATGGTCTGGCCATTGATTATGAGTCTCAGCGCCTGTACTGGGCAGATGCTGGTATGAAGACCATTGAGTATGCCAGTCTGGATGGAGATAATAGGAAGGTAAGAGAACTAGGCTACAGGAGGGGAGAGTCTGGGAGGCTGAGTGGCTGTCCCAGAGGGCTCATAGAAAGAGGGACAGTCAGTTGGAAGTAAAATCCCTGAATTGGGAAAACACTGTCAGCTCCTCATCCAGAGAGCAAAGAACCTCTTTCTGAACACAAACTATGTATGGAGGGCCTTCTGAAGCTGGGCACTGCCTTGAGCCCTACAGCCTAGTCCTTCCTCCTTTTACTGCTACTGACTCTCTTGTACATCCATTTCTGGGGAATGAGCCAAGGGATGGCTAAAATAGCCCCCTCCCCCCATGATTTCCTGGTGACTTTATCTTGGGGGTTGACAGGTGCTGATTGGGAGCAATCTACCTCATCCATTTGGGCTTACTCTTTACGGTGAGCGGATCTACTGGACAGACTGGCAGGCCAAGAGCATCCAGAGTGCAGACCGAAGGACAGGGCAGGCTCGTGAAACACTTCAGGACAACCTGGAGAACCTCATGGACATCCATGTTTTCCATCGACACAGACCTTCAGGTATAGGGCCAGCAGCCCCAACCCCTCAAGGAACTCAGCTTGCTTAACAGCTGCTGCCTGCAACAGGTCTCTTGGTACAGGGTCTACATCCCTGTCAAGCATTCAGACTCTTGCTGCCCTGCACATCTGTGCAGAATGTGTGTGGAAATAAATCAGTACTGAAAATGTAAGGGAAGTGTCCCCAGCCTGCATCTTTGCAGCTGATGTCCTTTTTGATAAGACACTCCAGGAGCTCCATGCTGAGCTCTTCATAGCCTGTGCTTGTTTAATTTTTTTACATTCCTTTCTCTCATACAGTGCACACGGCATGTGAAGTTAATAATGGTGGCTGCAGCCACCTCTGCCTTCTGGCTCCTCTGCCTAAAGGCTACAGCTGTACATGCCCTACTGGTATCAATCTGCAACCTGATGGCAAGACCTGCTCTCCTGGTAGGTTTCTTCCATAATATCCTCATTGCAGCTGGATCGTTCATGGTCCACTCTTGGCCCCGTGACAGTATTTACTGGAACAAAATTAACATTATGGGACTTGGGTGTGATGGTCAGTCTCAGCTTGCCTTGAGAAGTCTTTTGGTAGCTGTACCCTCAAGTATGGTGTGAGCTGGCTTGAGGTTACCCTGTGGAGAGGGGCTGGATTATCCTAAGGGAACATCAATATTATGTCCAGTGGTTTAGGTACATGTCAGTCTCTCCTGTAGCTCTGCCCTGAGCTTAAGGCTGGGCTCCCCGCAACTTGAGAAGGCACTGTGCTGTATTCTGGTCTAGGTAGAATCCATCCATCCCTCATGCACCTTCCCATTCAGGACAATGGAGAGCTCTTGGCTTAAGGGCTTGGAGCTGGCATTTATCCCCTCATCTTATTCACCTTGACAAGGAATCAGGCTTACACTCAATATCCTACCCGAACCCATCCAAGCAGGGCTAATGTCTTCATGAGAGCTTTCAGGTTGCTGCCCCATAGGTAAATAAGAGATCTATTCCTCAGCAGTTGGGTCAAGGGCATTGTTTAGCAAGTGATGCCCCAGGGACAATTGGCTGACACTGACTGCCTGTCCATCTCCCAACTTTCTGCAGGGATGACCAGCTTCCTGATCTTTGCTCGGAGGACGGACATCCGTATGGTCTCCTTGGATATCCCATATTTTGCAGATGTTGTCGTCTCAGTCAATGTCACAATGAAAAATACCATTGCAATCGGAGTGGATCCCCAGGAAGGTCTGGGCCTTCACTGATCACTGAAGTGCTGCAGTTAACTAAATCAATAGAATGCATGTGTAAAGATGCTATCTATTATCTACTTGGTAGCATGAATATGGGCAGATTGAGAGCCCTATTTTTTCCAATGTGTATTGTTTATATTTCCTTCCCTCCTTGCCCTGTCTTAGTGCAAAAACAGATTCTGGAGGGCTTCAACACCAGCTGACAGGAATAAACTGCCTTCTCCCTTTGTATAGGTTCACATGGAGTGTGGATTTAAGCTTTTGCTGTCCTGCCTTCATGTAAAAAGAGCTGAGTTGATGTTTGCTGATTTATGCCGGGTATCTGACGTTATACGTTTAGATTGTAGTTTCCATTCTCCATGGTAGTAAGAGAGAGTCTGATTATTTATCTCCTGAAAACCAGTTGTGGGTCTGTTACATAGCTATTCAGTAATATGTTAAAAAAACTGCATCCTTTCAGGTTCCCCACAGCCTGTGTTCCTGCATGGTTCCTTGTAGTGTCCCCTTCTGGGAGAGGCTTTTTGTCATTAATGGAGTTGGAGGCAGTCTGTTTCTCCTATGATGCTGTCAGATCTCTGGATTACATAGTCCTTCTGTTCTTCACAGTGATCCAGGTGCCTGTAATCTCAAGGAGGCCTGGGGTTGGATGAAGGCGTTTGCTGATTGCTTTTCTCTCCTTTCCCCCTCCTCCATTTCCCTACCAGGAAAGGTTTATTGGTCAGACAGCACACTGCGGAAGATCAGCCGGGCTGCGCTGGATGGCTCTCAGTATGAGGATATCATCACTACAGGTAGGAATGCTTTATTAGAGAACTTCATGTCTCCCTAGGGCAGCCAAAGTGGGGAGAGTTCCTCCGAGTTGTGGGGAGGGACTCCCAGATTTGTGGAGGGTGTTTATGGGGGGAGGCCTATGGATATTGTAAGGGGAGAACTCCCAAGACTCTAGGTAAGGGCAGAGGGAATTCCCAGAGTTTCCTCATCTGTGTGGAATGCTGAGAAGCTACTTTGGGACCATTTGCTCTTTCAGGTCTGCTGACCACAGATGGGCTGGCAGTGGATGCCATTGGCCGGAAGGTGTATTGGACTGACACAGGGACCAATCGGATTGAAGTGGGCAACCTGGATGGATCAATGAGGAAGGTTTTGGTTTGGCTGAACCTGGACAGCCCAAGGGCAATTGCATTGTACCATGAGATGGGGTAAGTGCTGACAAGGGACCATCCTGGGAGAGGGAAGCAAGGCAGAGTTCATTTCTTTCTCCTGCTTCTCTAATGCCTTGTTGTTTTTTTCCAGGTACATGTACTGGACAGACTGGGGGGAGCATGCCAAGCTGGAGCGTTCTGGCATGGATGGCTCAGGACGTGTGGTGCTGATCAGCAACAATCTGGGCTGGCCCAATGGCCTGGCAGTAGATAAGGCTGGGTCTCAGCTGCTGTGGGCTGATGCACACACAGAGGTTGGAGTCTGTTTTATGATTTTTACAGGGTTATCACTGAGTCTCTGGTATCCTGGAGGCTGTTTCCAGGGGAAGGCATTGGAAGAGGAAGGGACTATGTAGAAGGGCTCAAGGGTTCCCTGTGGTCTTGTGCTGTTGGGGATGATGGTCTGGTGGGGACATTAGTCTCAGAGGAAGGGTCTGAATAAGTAGTTTCTCTTCTCTCCTCCCTCAGCGCATTGAAGCTGCAGACCTGAATGGTGCCAGCCGCCACACCCTGCTGTCCCCAGTGCAGCATCCCTATGGCCTCACCCTGCTGGACTCCTACATCTACTGGACCGACTGGCAAACCCGCAGCATTCACAGAGCTGACAAGGACACTGGGGCCAACGTTATCCTGGTGAGGGCCAACTTGCCTGGCCTAATGGACATCCAAGCGATTGACAGGGCACGGCCCTTTGGTAAGTTTCTAGGCTGCTTAAGAGACAGGAGCATCCAACCTTGGTGATTCAGAGGAGCCCCTAGAATCTGTTACTATAGGGGACCCATTTACATTTCCATAGCAGAGTGTATGTTGGAGAAATTGATCTGCTCCTTTTCCTCCAACCTTAAATCTTCCCTGCTACCTCCCACTTCTCTGTTTCCCCCTGTTCTGTAGTGGTCATTTCCAACACCACCACCTCCCCCAGGTACCCAGACACAGCCCACCTGTCAATCCTCGGCTTGAGGCTATCAGTCCAGTCAATTCTGAGACTTAACAAGGAGGACTAAGCAATCCACACTTGTTTGAACTACTAAGGGATTTGCTGGTTCAAGAAGACTCATGTACAGTAGAAAAGACAGGAGTCTGTTTTCTCTAAAATCTGTCCCTTCTACTTTATCTTGACCCACTAAAGCTAAAACTTTGTTCGAAGGCCTGATCATCTCTTGACCCACTATTTGCAGCCTTCACCTCTTTGCTTGACATTTCACAATGTTCCAGGCTACTGCCACTGAAGGCACCTCTGTGCCTGCACCTTTTCTTCCTCTGCTTTTCTTATCATATCACCTTCTCCATTTTATTTGAACCAAATTCCTTCCTCTGCTTCTCAGGGACTGCACAGCCTACCTGCTGACCAATCCTCCCTGTGCCTTTGCACTGCACTGCTGCTTCAGTTCCCTGGAATTCTCCTCACTACCATCTACAGACAATGTCTTACCTCTTCACATATAGCTCCCTACCACCTCCCCTTGAATCTGTACACTTTGTAGCACCACTCTTTCTTCACCACCTGCTGCATTTGGTTAATCTCCCAGTCCCAGTTCTACCCCAGTTGTCTCCCTCACCTCTTTCCCACTGCTCCGACCTTCTTGCTAGACTGTTCCCTCAAACTACTTTTATACTGACTTATTAAACACTCTGGACACTGCTGTGTTTTAAAAAATAACTTAATGCACAAACCTAAAAGACATTAACAAGCCAAGTGCCTAATATAGGCCTCCCTGTTTCCTTGGCCTTTCTAGCATCTCACAGGATGTCTCTGATTTACTGTAGAAGCTCCATGAGCAGATTGGAATGACATATTTAACTACTTCCCCTATGGTCTGGGATCTTACTGCTAGTGTTAGGATTGCAAATAACACAGCTTAACTACAGGTGCATGATATTCAGCCAGCCAACAGCAGCCAGCCTTTTGCTGTCTCTCCTCCATGGAGACATCCTGATATCAAGGGATACAAATCATGGAGTTACCATTTCCACTGAGCCCACCAGTATCCTTGGATCCCTATAGCAGCTGGCAAAGCTTTAGGTAGGTCCTTGTATTAGAGGCCTGTGGTGCACTTTGAGCAAGAACATGGTTGGGGTGAAATCAGTTGCCAGTAGTGGGTCTCTCTGTCCTGTAAGCATAGGCGATGGGTAGGGGGTGCCCAGGGATGCACGTGACCCCCGCCCCCCCATCCCCTGACGGGGCTGGTGCCCCCCCCGACGGCTGATGCTGATACTGTCAGTAGGGCTGGTGCGCCCCCAGATTCAGGAGGCACCAGTCACTCATGCATGTAAGGAGATGGCAAGGGTCTAGTCTCTAGGAAGTGAGGTACTTTAGATTGTTTTTCCTCTTCTTCCCCAAGGCTTTAACAAGTGTGGCGTAAGGAATGGTGGCTGCTCTCACCTCTGCCTCCCCCATCCTACTGGCTTCTCTTGTGCCTGCCCCACTGGCATCCAGTTGAAGAGAGACGAGCAGACTTGTGATCCATCTCCAGAGACCTATCTGCTCTTCTCCAGCCGTGGTTCAATCCGGCGCATCTCACTGGACACCAGTGATCACACTGATGTCCACATCCCTGTCCCAGAGCTGAACAATGTAATCTCTTTGGATTATGACAGTGTGGATGGCAAGATTTACTACACAGATGTCTTCCTTGACGTCATCAGGTAGGTGCCTGTCATCTGCTCCCCATACAGTGCCCAATTTGTAAGTGACTGTTCATACTCAGCCTCAAAGACTGGATTTTGTGTATTGTAGATTCTTATAGCATGTTCCAATCGACTGGGGAAGTCCCTCCTTGAAAGGTGGGAGGATACAGTGATGCTCACTTGCTGCTGGAAGCACACACAATAATTTGGGTTGTGCAACTAATTGGGACCTGGCTGAAAAAACACAATGACAGTGTTAGGGCTGATGTTTGGAGATCCAGTGGCTGAGAGGAATGGGCACAGGGAGACTTGAAGGCTCATTAGAAACTGTCTTTTTCTCATGCCATTTGGCACTGAATTCCCCAGGCGAGCAGATCTGAATGGCAGGAACATGGAGACTGTCATTGGTCAGGGACTGAAGACAACAGACGGGTTGGCTGTGGACTGGGTTGCCAGGAACCTGTATTGGACAGACACAGGGCGGAACACCATTGAAGTGGCCAGACTGGATGGAAGCTGCAGAAAAGTGCTGATTAATAACAGCCTGGATGAGCCCCGAGCAATTGCTGTCTTCCCCAAGAAGGGGTAGGTCTGGGGTCAGTAGAAGGGAGGGATGGGAGAGGACAGATTATACAAGGCTAAATCAAGGGGGAGTTTGGATAGGAAGAAAGGATGCCTAGTGTGAGCCTGATGGGTGCCCAAGGGTTGGCTCTGCAGAGTGAAATGACTGGCAAAGAGCTAAGGCCATGTGGAGCTGATGGGAACAGATACTAGGAGATGGGTATGATATGTGACTAGAACTAGAGCATTTAGTAGAAAATGCAGAATCTATTAGTTTGGCCCATAAGTAAAAAATTTTTCAGAGAATCCAGTGAAATGTCTCCTGTCTCTGTGTGTCTTCCTGAGGGCTTACCCCTTTTCAATCTTCAGGTACCTCTTCTGGACAGACTGGGGTCACGTTGCTAAAATTGAGCGTGCAAACTTGGATGGCTCTGAGCGCAGAATCTTAATAAACACTGACCTGGGTTGGCCCAATGGATTGACGTTGGATTATGACACCAGAAGGTCAGTGAGAGATGTGGATTCGTGCTGTAATATCCAGAGGGACTGAGTAAGAGATGTAATAATGGTGAGCTTTATCACTACAGTCCTCTGAAGAGTGTTGCCTAGTGAGTGATCTGAAAGAGAGGTTTGGAAGTATGGGTAGAAGACTGGTCTGGTTTCATCTCTCTCTTTCTCCCTCTCTTTTACCACTCCGCCCTCACCTCCCCCACTATCTACAGGATTTACTGGGTAGATGCACATCTTGACCGTATAGAGAGTTCTGATCTCCATGGGAAGCTGCGCCAGGTGCTGGTCAGCCAGGTGTCACATCCCTTTGCCCTGACACAGGTAAACAGGGGCTCCCTAGAGTGATGAGGAAATCAGTGACTGTATGAGAGCTGGACTGCTTCGGGGATGTTATAGTGTAGTTGGTTGTATGTGGAAGCTGGTGTATCGCTCTCCAGTTTAGTGTTTATCTAAGGAAAGATTGGCTGAGTTGCTCTAGGATGGAGTTACACTTCTGAGAAGAGGGAAGCCAGGCTTGGACGAAGGGACTTTGTATGGAGCTCTAAGCCACATGAAAACTCCCTCGTACAGTCCCTATATATATGGCCAAGTGTTCTAATCTCTATGTGCTTTTTGTCTTCTCTGAGCAGCAGGACAGATGGATCTACTGGACTGACTGGCAAACCAAATCAATCCAGCGGGTGGACAAATACTCTGGCCGGAACAAAGAGACTATCCTGGCCAATGTTGAGGGGCTAATGGATATCATTGTGGTTTCTCCTCAGAGGCAAACAGGTATGTGGGGAAGGTCTTGATTCCTGCCTTGGCTAATTGGAGCCAGACAGAACCCAGTGCCCCTCAGTACCACTTGATAATTTTAATTAGTGCAGAGCCCTTGCCAACATCCAAACTGTTGACTCTCCCCTTGGTTTTGTTGGGGTTTCTTCTTTGCCTCACTCTGAGGTTTCAGTAGAGGGAGTGGAGAGTACCTCTGTCAACACCTGCTGATGTGAGATAATTCTGAAAGCTACTATGATAGTGAAATAATGAGGCAAGAGAAGATAAGTTTTTTCTGAAGCCCTGTAAGTTTGGCTGCAATGGTGGGGCTCCTCTTGACTGATTCCCATCTGACTTAAGCTCCTTTTTCCCCCAAGATTATTTTGACCTTATCAGTGCCTAATTCTTGTAATTCACTCAGCCCTGAGATGTGTGATTTTCATGGAGTAGAAAATCCATGACCTTGAGGAAGGGGAAACGGAAAGAGGTTATCCTATCTGAGATGGAAGAAAGGTTCCTGCCCTTGTGTAGTCAAATCTATCTGAGCACCACCTCTATGTGCAATACTTTGTCTCCTTCAGGTTCTAATGCCTGTGGTGTGAATAATGGAGGCTGCACTCATCTCTGCTTTGCCAGAGCTTCTGACTTTATCTGTGCATGTCCAGATGAACCAGATGGGAGGCCTTGCTCCACTGGTGAGTTCAAAGAGGTTCTCTGGGGGAACAACCTCCTTATAGGAGTCACAAATGATACTTGCATCAGGACCCCTAGTTACCCCCCTTATGGATATTTGACCATCTTGGAGGTCCCTACACCCTACACAAATCCCTGCAGCATCTTGTGCTGCAAATTAAGCATTTCTGGAGTACAATCTGGAGATGCTTGGTCTGGCATATGGGGGCCCTTAACACAAGTTCTTAATCTTCTTTCTTCAGTCTCACAGAATCAAGCTCTTATTTGGTTTTTTTTCTGTATTGTTTAGTTCCTGGTATGGTGCCCCCTGCTCCTGAAACAACCAGTATGAGTGAAAAGAGCCAGACCCCACCCAGCCAAGGAGCTTCAACAAGTAAACCTCACACATCTCTGGAAACAACAGAAGGAAAGTGAGTGCATGTTCTGTTGGAATGTGGGTATACATGCCAGATACAGCACGATCACATCCCGTCCACTTTCCCAGGACAGAAAGAAACGTTCTGAGATCTAAATGCCCTATAAGTAGTTGAAGAAACCCCATCTATGAAAAGAGAGGACAGAGGTCTCTGGAGTGGGCATGGGGTGTAGAGGCCTTGCTGTCCATTCGATTCAGATATGACTTAGCCTACTGCGCTGTGTAAGAAGCTAGAATTCTTTTGGTCAAGCCTGTTATCCTGTGCTTAACATAACTGACTTGGGTGGGAGCCTTACTTTGATCATTTAAAACTAGACTAGGCAAATCCCTGGGAACAATCCTACTTTGGCCCTGAGTGGATAGCCTGGACAGGACTGAACAGTGCTTCTGCAGCTTTCAACTCATGTTCCAGTGTGGATAATTAGCTGTCTCTTTGGCCATCTTTTTCCCCTGGCCAGCACAGAGAGCTTCTCCTTGGTAGGTGGGTTTAAGTACTACAAGCAGAGACATCTTTCCCTGTTCACTGGGAGCACAATCTCAGCACAGAGACAAGGGGAAGAGGGGTGCACAGTACTTAGTAAGGTCCACTTTTGCCTGAAAATCCCAATGTCATCTATAGTGAATCTATAGGAGAAAGGATGTGGATCCTCTGGGATGTATAGGATGAGGTCCAACATAAGGTCCTACATGAGGTTTTATTCCTCATGTTGAGTTACTTTAGCAGGGGAAGGAGGATCTTCTCTCACCTCCCTTAGCCTCCATCTTTAGCTCCACTCTATTCCTGCTTGACACCCTGTGAGATATGTAAATGTGTTGAATCTGCACGTGTGAATCTCAAGTTATTTTTTGTTGGATTTGCTAATGCCAGTGCATGTATAATTTTTACTTGGTTTACAGTATATTCTGTGCCTGCCAGTTTGGCAGCCCTCGTTCCTACACTTGTGGCTGGAGTTATGTATTTATGAATGCAAAGGCAAATATAGCACACCCTCCTTGCCCTAAGGGTTGGCACTAATGGGCTGTTTGTCTTTGTTCCTTCCAGCTGTTCTGACAAAGATGCTGGCCAAAACTTGTGTGCCCGGGAAAATGAGGCAGTGCTGGCAACCACAGGCAAGTTCCTCTTCTTTCTCCTTCTCTAGTTTGGCCCTTCTTCCAGGCCAAGCCAGTGCCTTTCACTCCACAGTGCTTCTGACTCAAATGAAGTCTTCCTCAAATTCATTCCGAGTAAGACAGAGAATGAAAATCAGCCTTCTCTCATTCACCAGTACCAAACAGAGTCTGCTCCAGGTGGACAGTGGATAGTCATTACATGATGCCAGAGAGCCCCTTCTCTCTGTTCTCCCCTGCCCCCCACCTTTGTCCACTCAGCTGGGATAGGCTTAGCTTCAGCAAGCCTGCCTTTTCCTTCTTCACTCTTTTAGTCTAGACTTTTTGAAAAGGGAAGCTTATTTCCCTCAGCACAGAGTAACTACCAGGTTATGGGAGGGCTAATGGTAGAAGGTTAACTCATCCCTACCATCAAGCTAAACCATCACCCCCTCTTCCAAGGTCTCCTCCATGCACCTGATTCCTTGAGTCCATCCTTTCCACCCCTGCAGCCCCCAGAATGCACCAGAGGGCTCATGTTGCACCAACCAAAGCCTCCTCTCCTCCTAGATGTGACTTGCTGATACCCACTCTGCATGCTCACATGCAGAGTGGGTATACCAGGGTGAACATAGTCTGGTGGTACAGAAGGGCCCTTAACTAGTCATTGCTGTTCTCTTTCAGGAGAAGGATTGCATGTCAGTTATGTTATTGGAGGCCTCCTGAGTGTCCTGTTCATTCTGATGCTTATCGCTGCTTTGATTATATACAGGTACCTCTCCACTCCCTTTAGCTTTGATCTTGGTGGATGGAGTCACATGGTTGAAAGAGACTCTCAGCAAAGGTCATCTAGGGCTACACTCCCTGCAATCTGTGTTGGAAGCTGTGTTGGCTGCTTTCTATTATGACTATTTTATTTTATATAAAAAAACTCTTGCATTACTTGGAAAGCAGATCAAGCTGTTATGGGGCTTGAAAGCTCTCCTTCTCCCTATGGGAACTCAAAAAAAGTGTAAACCCTTATGTGTATACACCTTTCTCCCTCGGATCCTTGTCTCTGTTTTATACAGAGAGTCTGAATGTGATGTCCAAGAATGTGTTTAAATTTGTGCCACCCTAGCTATGGAGGTTGTCTGGTAAATCTGTGAGTTCCAAATGCTTTCTGCCTACTTCTTCCATGAGCTTCACCCTGAGGGACTGTTTTCCTTTTGCCAATCATTGTCCCTGTAAAGCCATGCATCCTATTCTGCCCTCACTAATTTTAGTCTGGTGGTAGTCATTAGAACTCTACCATGCTGTGTTAATGTATGATGACTGTAGGGCAGTTGTAGGGACCTGATGAAAAAGGCCCTTCTCTGGCCTGAGTGAGGAAATAGGAGATCACTGGAGCCTTTTATTCATTGTATGATGGAGCAGCTTCAGTGCTCCATCACTTTAAGGGCTGGAATAGGCAGCTGGCAGGTGATTGATTAGGGCGGTAATTTTAGAGCCCAGCTCTCGGGTCTGAGGGGGCAGTTTGCTGCCAGCCAGCAAGGGAGTAACGTCACCCAGCTGAGATACTGCTCCAGGAACACCTTGGAGATAAGGGCTTGGGCTACGGGGAAGGAGGAGGCCCCATGGTCCTGGGCATGACCTAAAACTGCACCCGGCTGGGGCAGGGAGGCCTGGTGGGACTGCCTGTGGTGGGGCAGTGCCGTTCAAGTGCCAGGACTGCTAACCTCCCCAGTGAAAGGCGGTGCCTCAATAAGCAGAAGGGCGACTCAATAACCCTAGCCCCCATTATCTGGTAGGTTACTGGTGGGAGCAGTGGGGCCAGGTATGCCTACCAAGAGGCACCTGAGCCCATATGGGTGTAAGACCCAGGAGTGGGGGCCAGACATGCTCAGAGAGGAGCACCTGAGCCTGCAGGGGTGTAAGACCCCAGGCCCTAATGAGAAGGTGGAGTTGAGGCCAGGTACGCATAGAGGGAAGCATCTGAGCCTGAGAGGGGTGTTTACCCTAGGGCCCCAGAGTAGGGGTGCAGTGTTGGCCCAAGGAAGGGGCGGCATGGTCCGGTGAGGGGTTAGGAGCAGAGGCAGCCCACAGTTGGTGAATTGACTGGCAACCGTTCAGATGAAGGTCATGGGAGAGACCCAAGAGGCTGAGCTAGGGCCACTCGAGGAATGAACAGTCAAGCTTAATGGCCCTCCAGGGTTGCTTAAGGGAGCAGGGCAGGGTGTGTGTGGCCCAGGGATGGGCAGTATGCTAGAGGCCCCTGTGAGAGAGGGGTGGAGTGAAAGAGGCCCTGGTGAGAGAGGGGTGGTGTGAATGTGGCCCAGAACAGGGCAGTGTGTAAGGGGCCAAACTACGTCCTGAGTTTGGCCTGGCCTTAAGCTGGAGATAGAACAAACGATATGTCATCTGCGAGGCATGGGACACGTTAAGAGGAGTTTGGAGCATGTACTTATCGCTCTTGTACATCAGGGTGTTCAAAGAGCAGCCTCCCGCCTATTTAACATCAGGATCAATTAATAACAAAACATGGCAGGCGAATGAGATGGGCGGTTTGCCCATAGACAGGTGGTGGGCTGATACTGAGAACGGGCCTGGGAGTTTGTCCCCGTCACACATTGGGTTGTGGCTTTTCTTATGGAATCTTTCATTTTGGCAATAGAATCTTGCCTTGCTTATGATGGTTTTCTTCCTACAGGCACAATAAATCCAAGTTTACAGACCCTGGCTTGGGGAACCTGACCTACAGTAATCCCTCATACCGGACATCTACCCAAGAAGTGAAGATCGAACCTATTCCTAAGCCAGCAATGTACAACCAACTGTGCTATAAGAAAGAGGTAAGAGCTGCTGTTTGGGGCCTTGGGGTCCCAGCTCAAGCTGTTATAATCCTGCAAAACTGAGGAGATAGTGGAAGTGACTTTGGCTTGGTTTTTGGCAGGTGCCTTCTACACTTCTTTCTCTAACGTTTGCATGGGAGAGGTTAGGGCACCATTCAGTCGACTACTCAGTGAGACTCACATGGGTTAACAAGCAGTATCCCTTGCTTCCCCAGTGGCACAGACTAGGGGTGTGCAAAGTGGGCCCTATTTGATTCAGATTCGGATTTGGCCCAAGTCAGGAACAGTGATTCGATTTGTTGATTCGATTCAGCTAAATCCAAATCTGAAGATTCAATGCCGATTCGGAGAATCAGAGATTTGGACGTAGGCACAGCTTTAAAAGTTTTTTCTACATACCTTGAGGTACCAGTGCGGCTTGTGAATGCTGCGGTGCTGGGGCACATGGAACGTCCCACAGGAGTGTGAGGGGGCGGGCCCTCCCCGTGCTTGGCGGTGAACCCAGAAGTGGACCGGAAGTACTTCCGGTCCACTTCCGGGTCTGCTGGGAAGCGTGCTGGTGGGCCCGGCAGACCCAGAAGTGGATTGGAAGTGCTTCTGGTCCTCTTCCAGGTCTTCTGTGGAGCACGCTGGAGAGCCCCCACCACATTCCCTTAGGACACTCTGTGTGTCCCAGCACTGCAGCATTCACGAGCCACCTGCTACGTAAAGGTACATAGAAAAAACATTTAAAGCTGTGTCTATGTCCGAATAGCCGAATCTTTCTGAATCGAACCAGGGACCAAAGCTTCTCACAGCCCTAGCACAGACCTCTATTAGGCTCCTGTCTTCTTTACCACTCCTATGGTGTCTTATCTTTTTTTGCTGCAGCAGTAGCAGCAACTACTGATATCTAAGGTATTGGAGCCCAAAGGGAAGCTTCTGCTGGACCCATGCTCCCTGGTGGCTTCTACCTCAAGTGCTATTTTGGACACTGGGGAGCCAGGCAGCAAAAAGAGGGCAGGAAAGGTGGACACAGTTTTTAACTATGCACCATATGGAGTGGATAGGGTGGGGAGAACAACTGATGGTCCTGATGACTAGGGTATTGTTAGGAAACCATATGGGTCTGCGTGGGTCTGTGTGCAACAGGGAGAGGGTTTAGCTTGATATCTTATAGCACTTAGTTTCTCTTCTTGGTTTCCTCCTCAGAAGTTTTCCCATTCCTTTGATACCTTCTCATCTTCCCTCTTCTGATTTCTGCCTGCATCCTTGTGCCAGGTATCACTGCTTGGTGTGCATCTCCCATATCTTTCACTCCTGCACTACTGAGTGGTTCTAACACTGTCCTGTACTAATTGCTGTTTGGCTGGCTTTTCTCACTGTCCTTTGTTCATCTCCTTAAACAAGCTTAGCCTGCCTTCCGGTGCCGGGGAAGCAGAGATCCCTTGTCATGGCTCAGGGTCTGCTGTGTATGATGCTTAAAGAAAATAGCTTTCTCTGGGAGTGTTTATAATTTTCACAGACAAGGCCTGTTAGATCCTTCAGTCCCTTTCCCACCACAGGACAGTTAAAGAGAGGACAAACCATTAGTAGTTTCATTTTAAATGTCTCATGTTGTAGATTTCCCCTCCTATCTGCTCAGATTCAGCCTTGTAAAACTTGCTGTTAGGATAATTTCTCTGAGAACATAATTATTTCCTGTTTTTCATCTCTGTCCCATTGCTCCTAGATCTACCTGCATATGTCCCTCATAATTCTCTCTCTGGAGTTTTGTCTATTGAATGTTCCTATGCCCACTTAGTTATCACTGAGATAAGTTAGATCAATTTTACTCCAGTCTCTGCTCATGCTCCCTATTTGCCTCTGGTCATTTCTGTTGATTCGTTGCAGGGTTCTTCCAGTATTTCACAAATACTGTGGAACTCAGACCCAGACACAGTATCTCAGATGGCCAGTCTTATGAGGAATAAAAAGAGCAACTCAGATGTCAGTATATGACTGCTCTGGGATGTAAGGCATTTGTATTTGCATCAGCCTTTTTGGAGAAGTGTCTCACTGTAAAATCATACCCGAGTCCCTGCCATTCAGTCTCTCTCTCCAGCTGCTTCTGCTTCCCTTTGTTTTTCTGTCCTGTTTGGGCTCCAGTATAAGATTTTTATTGGCCCCAAAATGGCATTGCTTGCATTATGCAATCGAATCATAAGAACCACCTTTTTCCCATTGTCTGTCCTCAGATTGAAGGAGCCTGAAGTTTGAGATAGGAACTCCTCTGAGGAGGGTAAGGGTCTGTTGGGCAGAGTATGGTGAGGGGAAGCGTAGAGTGGACTCTACTAGTGCCTTCATTGCAAGAGCCAGTTACCCTTTGCATTGAAGTTCAGCCCTTTTGCTTGCTTTGCTGCCTGCCTTCATTGCAGCCTGTTTTGTTCTTTGGCAAGGGGTAACCAGTTCTCTGCAGGCATCTTTCATTCTGTGATCTCCCTTTCCACAGGCTAGTCCTGATCACAGCTACACCAAGGAGAAGATCAAGATCGTGGAAGGTATATGCCTCCTGTCCAGTGACGATTCTGAGTGGGACGACCTCAAGCAGATACGGAGCTCCCGGGGAGGAATTCTCCGGGACCATGTCTGCATGAAGACAGACACGGTTTCTATCCAGGCCAGTTCTGGCTCACTGGATGATACCGAAACTGAGCAGTTGCTACAGGAGGAGCAGTCTGAGTGCAGCAGTGTCAACACTGCAGCAGCCACTCCTGAGCGGCGCGGCTCACTCCCAGACACAGGCTGGAAACACCAACGCAAGCCCTCCACGGAGAGCGAGGTCTAAAGCACATTCTACCTTCAGGATGCTCATACCCTCTCCAGCCTCTGCTCTGCATGAATGAGACAGGACTCTGCCTGCCATGCAGGAGGAGCCCAGAGGCTAGCCTCCCAGTTTCACGGAGCCTAGAGACTGTAGTTACCATTTGGCAAGAAGCCTGGGCCAGACTGTGTTCTTGTGGCTGGGGGGGATGGACCCTGAGACCTTTTTGGCTCATTCTCACTGTTTGTGGTTTATTTATATGTTCCTTTTTCCTGAAAGCTGCCATGTTAACTTCTGCAGTGACTCTCTGGGCTATGTCTGGCTCAGATTCTGTTCCCTGTGGCAACCTGAGAGTCCTGCACTGTCCAGCTCATAATTCATGCCCCTAAGAGAGCAGAGCTACTCTACTGCTAGCTCCTGATCATACTTAATGTATATTATTGCCCCTTAGTCAGGTGTGAGCAGCACCAGTTGAGTGTTGTGCTATGCTCGCTCTTCCTTGATTAATGGGTTATGTCAGGTGGAGGGTGGGCTTCATGGCTGAAGGATGTAGTGAAAGGTGATTTATATGGAGATAAAGAGAGCAGTCACAGCTGCCATGTTGCACACGATTAGAGTGTCACTATTGTCTTCTGAATACAGAAGTCTCAATCCTGGCCCAATCAGCAGAAATGAAATTATGGACTTCTGCAGTGGTTTTTATGTTCATTTGGAGGTGTGATGAATCCTGGGACTGGAGCATTGGGACTGTTGCTGGCAATGGACGCTGCTCCTGTTCACCTCACCACAGGCACCTGTCCACTGTGGTTCTACTCTGGAAAATGGCTCCATGCACATAGCACCTTCACAACTGCTGCCCATGCATACTGGAGTTGGCTACCACATATGTGGACAGAGATTTAATTGTTCTTTCACTAGCCCTGTAGAGATAAGGAAAGTTCATCTCAGAGCTTGGGAGAAAGAACTAGCTTCTTTTCCTCTTCCTGCATTATCAGCAAAAACAGTTGCCAGGTTCCAGAAAGAAGACTAGCCACTTATACCTCTGGATGGCCAGTGGGCTGCCTAGGTGCGGCTGAGGTCCTGTTTCAGCCTCTACAACCTTTTCTAACTGGTGATGTAGGAAATGGGACATTCCCAGACTGATGCACTAGGGGCCTGCAGTGCTGACACACAGGAAAACTAACTCTCTTACTAAAACTGATCCAATTTGACCTGGGGTCATGGAGCTATAGGCACCATTGTAAAATACTGGTTTATCAAGTTGACCTGCATTTGTAAGTTAGTAGCAAACAAACCTCTGCAGGGGGAACTGTGTTCTTCCTATCAGCTGTGGGAGGGCCCAGTTGAATTCTGGGCTCTGTAAAGCCTTTCCCCTGTGTTAGGCTCCCATCAACACAGTGCATGATTGCTTTCCTGCCAGATCCTTCATAGCTGCAGGGGAGCTGGTGTTTGGCCTTACACTCTGTATGATATGCCAGACATGGTATGAGTAATAAGCACCTGTATGGAAGTAAGGCTTTATGGAAACCCACAGACAAACCACCTTTGAATTAGTCTCAGTTTTGGGGAGGGGTCAAGGAAGGCAAGGGATAGAAAACTATCAATGCCATTATTTGAGCTTCCAGAAAGCATCCCTGGTAATTTGGAGCTTTGACCTGCTCTGGAACCATTGCCCCTTGACCCACCACTCTGTAACCCTATATAGAGAACAAAGAGGGAGAAAAAAACTCACGAAATGGAGGTTAGTCCCTTCCTTTTCTTCACGTTTATGGATGTTGTTACTGAAGGTAGAACATTAAATCCCAGGCCAGTTGTTTGGAAGCAAAACCATCCAAGGAAGGAGATCCTTGAAATACCTGTGAAGGATCCCTACTTGGGACTTCTGTCACATCCCATGCATGACATGAGGAGGATGCGGGGGAGCTATGTAGAATGGGGATTTGGATGGGTTGTATATTCCAAGCAGTATTTTTCCAGCTAGTGAACAAAGTCAGTCCCTGTTCTAGCCCATGCTCACTTTGCAGAAGCTCTGTCCACTGGAAAATGTGACCATTACCAGCTGATGGGCAATAGTAGGTAAATTGAGGGATGGTTCTGCAGCTAGGAGAAGGTTTCAACTTACACTACCCAAGCCAAGGCTGAGATTCCAGGTATAGCTAGTGCACAGTCCTGTGGGAAGTGGGCTTAGAGTTAAGACTTTGGAATTTCCTTAAGTTAATGTGTAACTTTTTCCTGCTCCCAGAGGGAGAAATTATTTTTAATTGAATTTTAATTTAAATCTAATTATTTGGCTCCAGGCTGGAAATTGTTGTTCCAGGTGCCACTTGTGCTTTGTGTAGTATCAGCTGCTGAGGCCCTGCTGGATAGAGGCCTGGACTCAATGGGGAGTAAGAGGCAGAGCAGCAGGGATCAAAGCAGGACACAGCTCACTGACATAGACTTGGGCTGTCTAGGCTACTTCTGGAAGATCAAAGAGTTCAGGTGCAGGAGGGGAAGAGTCCAGTTGCGGGGGAGCCTATGTGCAGGAGCTAGAGAAGGTGGCTGCAGTAGCAGCAGCAGGAGTGGGTATGAGTGTGTGGAAGAAGACTCAGACATTCTGGGGCACATTCCTACTGTTCTGACAGGCTGTGTTACTGTGTTACTCTGCACTGCATATTAAAACTCCAGGTACTGAGGGAAGGATTGGATATATGTACCCAGTCCTCTCACTGAAGACTCAAAGGTATGTCTACATGGCACAATGAAGTGTTGTACAGCAATACCTGAGATAGCTCTGAACTAGTAGGACTCAGACTGAATAGAGCACCATTCTAATACAGCTATGCTGGTTTCAGTACCTGAGAGTACGGATGCACTTAACAATTGAAATATTTCAGTTGCTGCATCTTGCTGCAGCCTGTCTAGCACCTCTTGGCTGCCGCTAGAGGAGGCTGCAGTATTGAAATGTCCCAGCCAGGTACATTTGACTTGGAAACATTTTGGTGCTTATGACACCCCATGTTACTTCATGTAGAGCCAGGTTGGGTATTTCTACAATGCACAGCGCTGTGCCTTTAAAATATTTCAAAGGGCCCCTAAACAGCATATAAGCCCTTTACAATGTCCTAAATGTGGCTGAAACCTTCCAGAATAATACCTCTTTACGTGAAATACTATTTTGGAATATTTCCCTTTTCAGTTGTGTGTGCCTGCTGTGAGCGCATGAGGTCTTGCCTGGGGCTGGAGTCAGAGTTGGGCTTAAACCCTGCACTCCCTGCCAGACCACAGGGGCCATTACTAGAATCTAGTCCTCCACCCCCAATCTCCTGGACCTTTCTACTCAGAGGGGGAGAGGAGAGGGAGGATTTGGGACCCCTCCCCCTTACCCCTCTCTACTTGTCTTCCCCCTCCTTTTTCTCTCTGTGTGAGGGGAGAGGGAAGAGGAGTGAACTGAGAGCAGAGACAAAGGGTGCTGCAGCCTGTCTAGCTAGCACCTCTTGGTTGCCACTAGAGGAGGCTGCAGTATTGAAATGCCCCAGTCAGAGCAGTGCAAGGGTATACATATGCCCACTGGCTGAAACATTTCCTTTTTGAAGTGTTATCAGATATATTTCACTTGGAAATGTTTCAGTGGCTATGACTGTCTACACCATGTTACTTCATGTAGAGCCAGGTTGGGTATTTCTACACTGTGCAGCATTGTGCTGCATAGACATGCCATCAGTGAACCTGTGTAAAGAAAAACTGCTTGAGTTACCAGTACAGAATGAAAGGGGAAGGCCCAGGGACATAGATAAGATTTTTGTAGAGGCAGGCCCCCTGCATGTAGGAGCTGTTGTGTGGAGGCAGCTGCTATACCACAGAGAAGCATGTCCTGTAGGGGAGGTATTAAACAGTTTTTGAACAAAGGGGAACCCAGAGCAGTTGCCCTTCCTGGTATCTATACCCCAGGAAAACTCTTTCCAGCAGCTAGCAGTGCTTAAACTCCACCTGACATATCTATTTGTCCTCTGTGGAAGGCACCTTGCACATTCCAGCCCCAAGACCATTCAAGTATGTTCTCCCTTCCCTTCCAACTCCTGTAGAGATTGTGGGACTGCTACACTGGGGAGATGGGGCATGAAATGTACTGCAGCCTCTGTTCCACTAGTGAGATGAGCAAAAGTGTTATTCCCTGATGTGGGCAAACAGCCCTTGTGAGATGCTGCTGGGGGTACATCACACTTCCCCGTGCTGGGGAGGAGAAGGCCCTCATTGCACTTTTGTTGTATGGAATGTAGAAAGGCCACAGCTGGGGGATGATCTCTTCAGCACTGATTTACTGTGTAAAAAGCAAACCTCTCTCCTGTCTGTCCTGAGCTAATGGCAGTGATTCCCCTGCATTCCTGTGTAATGGTTTTAACGTTACTCACTGGAGACATTGGACTTTCTGGAGTTATTTAACCACTATGTTCAGTATTTTAGGGGTTGATGATAATTTAATATAAATTTAGCTTTTCTTAATCACTCTGCCTGGTGTTGGGTTGTGAGTCATGTATGCTACCCACATTCTTTGAAGGAACAGCCTTGGTCCTTGCTTGCATGCTTAATAAGCATTTTGGATGGGTGGAATCTGCTGACCATCAAACTGACTATAACATGACTTACTTCCACCAGTTGAAGCTTGAACTGGGGCCCAGTGTCAAAAAAGATCCGAGTACAGCTTTAAATGCAGCAAACTCACTGCCTTCTCCCTTCACTACTAGGTTAGCATGGCAGTAAAAGCAAGAGTAGCCTAATTCTGCAGGACATGGTGACAAAATTGGTGTAAACCCTGCCTTTTCCTAATGGAAAGGGGTAGTCCTGAGGAGATCAGAGTGGGGATGAAGAGGAGCAGAAGCTATATTCCTTTCCTGAGTTCTTTGTCCATTGTTTTTCTGGCACTTTTAAATAGCTCTAAATAACTACTATGAATCTTTTAAATTGGGCAAAATAAGATGGGTAATGGATGAAATGTCTAATCATGGCACTGCAAATACAAGGCAGGATTGCTGCTACCAGTGACTCTTTCTAGATTCTTCCTTATGAAGGTCTAAAATCTCTTTACAGAGGTTAATGAACTTTGCATCAGACCTGCTGTGGAAGTGGAGGATGTTACCACTATCCCTGCAGGAAGTAATTGCTCTCTGCTTATGAAGTAAGCCATGCAGAGAATAGAAGCAAGATGTTCTGACAGCTGGTTCCTCACTATAAACATTGACTTTTGAATATACTGGGGGGAGAAAGGCAGTGCTGAATAATTGAAACATACTGCCGTTTCTTTTCATGATGATAGTTAACAACCTGTCTTAAAATCTAACCCCATTTTCCCATAATTGTAATTTTCCAAGAGCATCTATGTTTGTGACTGAAGTCCTTCACTTTAGACTCTGCCCTGAGATTACTTTTCCCTTAATCCCTTCAGCTGTTGAAAGTGAGCAGGGTGAAAAGGACACCTGTGTTGTGCCTGCATGACAGATTTTCTACACCAAATTAGTTCCAGCCTACACCAGTAAGGCTTTTTAGGTGTGTACATATGTTCTGTTGTTTTACTGGGGAGGTTCCAGAGCTGCATATGTACATATCACACCTAATGCATATTCAACTACATCAGGAGGAAGAGCTGAGTTCTCTTTTCTTGTGTGTACATTTCTGTGTTGCTAGTACCAAACAAATGGAATTTAACTGTAAACTAACCAAATATTATATTGTCTTTGAACAATAAGAAACCATAATATGAAAAGCTCACATAATGCTAGCTCATCCTCCTGCGTAGCATGCCGTTTTATAGTATTTAGCAGTCCTAATTACTAAATGATACACTACCACAATACACCTGTTGATGTCTGTAGCAGAACCTAAATTCACCACTATTTAGCTTTAGTGAAAGCATCGTTGCCAGAGTGAAATTTGGCCATGTACATTTACTGGAGAAATTAAGTTTAAGCAGGATACACATAATGGTTAAAATCCTACTCTAAATACATTCTAGATTTTTGTGTTTAATACAGTTTTTTTAAATGAGTAGTTTTCTAGACTTCTATTCTAGACAAGATTCATACTATGCTTTCAATCAGGGATTCTCAAACAAGCTGTTAGGGTACCCTGGGGTGGCACTGGATGTAAGGAGATAAGTGTGGGCTCAGTCTATTCTCTACCTGGTTGCTGCCCACCTCCCAATGACCAGCCTCTCTGCAGTGAGGTTAGCACTGTAATAAATTAGTTTTTGCAATAGAGTGTTGCTCAATTCACAAAAGCTAGGAGTCTATAAAAAGGTAGAAAACCAATGCTTTAAATGCTTGGATACCACAAGTGCAGAGTAAACAGCTAAATCTGTTGATTCTGCCATGTAAAATTTATAGAAAACTTGTCGCTGATATCTCAGCCCTGGAAAGTAAATACAGAAGTCTTAATCCTGGCACAATCAGCAAAACCAAGTCACATTCTGGTAAGAAAGTGAATTCAAAAGACCAGATTTTTGCTTTTATTTGCACCTGCACCAAAGTTATGGAATCGTTTTTTAGGTCCAGTGTCTTGATGAAGTTGGTATGGAAGTTCCATCTCTGGCAGGTGAGTCTTCCTCATGTGACTGATTCATTTTAATAGTTTGACCGAGTCCTCCTCCTCCCTGTCTACCAAGCCCGCAGGCCACTGGGAGCACCTGGCGAATTTCACACCACCCAAATTGAGCAAGTCAGCAAACTGCTGGCAGCTGTACTTGCATAAGACTTGTAAGAGTGGTTTACATGGGCGAGTCTCAACCAAGGTGAAGTCAGGGTAGATCTGACCAAGACAGACTGTGAACACAGTATTTCCTGGGCTGGAGCTCAGGTCATCAGATGCTCTCTTCATACTCTGCTTTCAGCATATCCTTTCCCAGCATCTGATGAAGTGAGCAGAAGCTCAGAAAGCTTGTACTTTCTCTGTGCATCATATGTCCAGGCGTGGATCAGGGGGAGGTGCACTAGTGCACTTGCATCCACCCACCAATCCTGCTCCACCACTTTAAACCAACTGCCTGGCAGTAGCAGCAGCAGCAAATCTAGTCAGACAGTGCTGAGGTAGCTACTTGACTTCCTGTCTCATTCTAATACACCTGATTCCTTCTCAACTCTTTATTCCAGTTGTCAATGACCTTCTTCCTTTTAATGGTTGTGATGTTCCTCCCATCAATCTAGCCTTTGTTTTGCAACTCTGCTGTGTGTTAGGAGCTTCATTCCCACAGCAGCCAATTCATAGCCCTGCAGATTGTTTTTTTAACTCATTCCAATGAAGTTATATTTGGTTTTACTTCAATCCTAAACTGAATAATCCAGCTCTGGCCCCCTATCTTGTAAAGGAACCTTCCTATTTTTATCTAGAGAAAAATGTGTTATATTTTATGTGCTGATGCCCTTCAGTCTGTACCCTCCCTTTCAAAATCCTAGATCTGCCTATGCTTATATCTAGATGTATTGCTACCCACCAAACCTTGTGTGCACATACTCCCACCTGGTTCATCTAAGAGGGCCCCTGTCACACAGTCAAACTAAAGCTGGATAGAACCCAGGTATAAAATTACTGCATGTTTTCAAGCACTAACTTTGGAGCTGGTTGTATATGCTCATGAAGTGATCATCCCTTTGCAAGCAGGGCTGGCCTACACTTACTGTATAATTCACCATTGTGTGATATAAGTAACATGTGGCAGCAGCCTAAGGCAGCCCAGTGCCCCTCTGAGGCAAGGGCTGGTTCTGGCCACGCCACTCTCCCTGGAGGCTGGCAAGTTGGAGGCCCGCACGCTAGGCTCAGCTAGGCCGGGCCTAACATCCTCTACTGTCTCGAGCCTGAGGCCTCCTGCAGCTGCCCCTTTAAGAGCACAGCTCCGTGCGTGGCACAAGCCGCGTTCAAACCGCCCAATGAGGCGGTGGGGGCGGGGCCGGCGGCGGCCAATGAACGCTCAGGACACTGCGAGGTGCGGGTAGGGTAGTGATTTCAAACCCTGTTGCTGAGGAGGCTCTCGGCTGCCCGCGCCCGACCCCGCCCGGCCCAGGGGGGCGCCGCTAACCCCCCCT